ATTGGATTGATTCGAATTTATTCAAATTGAATTCACTTGCATTGATTTCAACTGAATTGAATAGAATAGAACAGAAGAGATCAGATCAGAATTCAAATGATTTCAATTGTATTGAGTTAATTGAATTGAATTGAATTGAATTGAAATGAATTCATTCGAATTCGATTGATATGAATTGAATTGATTCCAATTGAATTGATAGGCATTGCTTCAAATTGAATTGATCTGAATTGAATTGGATTGATTTAAACTGGATTGATTTGAATTCATTCAAATTGAATTCATTTGCATTGATTCCAACTGAATTGAATTGAATAGAATAGAACAGAAGAGATCAGATCAGTATTCAAATTATTTCAATTGTATTGAGTTAATTGAATTGAATTGATTTGATATGAATTCATTCGAATTGGATTGATTTGAATTGAATTGATTCTAATTGAACTGATAGGTATTGGTTCAAATTGAATTGATCTGAATTGAATTGAAGTGATTGAAATTTGATTAATTTGAATTGTTTTAAATTGAATTCATTTGCATTGATTCCAACTGAATTGAATGGAATACAACAGATCAAAATTCAAATGATATGAATTAAATTGGACTGAACAGATATCAATTCATCCGAGTTGGATTCGTAGGAATTGTTTTGAATTAGATTGATTTGAATTGAATTGATCTGAATTGAATTGAATTGGTTGAAATTGGATTTATTCGAATTCATTCAAATTGAATTCATTTGCATTGATTCCAACTCAATTGAATAGAAAAGAATAGAACAGAAGAGATCGGATCAGATCAGATCAGAATTCAAATGATTTGAATTGTATTGTGTTGAATTGAATTCAATTGATTTGATATGAATTCATTCGAGTTGAATTGAATTGATTTAAATTGAATTGATTCGAATTCATTCAAATTGAATTCACTTGCATTGATTTTAACTGAATTGAATAGAATAGAACAGAAGAGATCAGTTCAGAATTCAAATGATTTCAATTGTATTGAGTTAATTGAATTGAATTGAATTGATTTGATATGAATTAATTCGAATTGGATTGATTTGAATTGAATTGATTCTAATTGAATTGATAGGCATTGGTTCAAATTGAATTGATCTGAATTGAATTGAATTGATTGAAATTGGATTGATTCGAATTTTTTCAAATTGAATTCATTTGCATTGATTCCAACTGAATTGAATGGAATACACCTGATCAAAATTCAAATGATATGAATTGTATCGAATTTGAATTGAATTAAATTAATATGAATTCATTCGAATTGGATTGGTATGTATTGTTTTAAATTGGATTGATTTGAATTGATTCAACTTGAATTCACTTGCATTGATTTCAACTGAATTGAATAGAATAGAATAGAAGAGATCAGATTAGATGAGAATTCAAATTATTTAATTGTAATGAGTTGAATTGAATTGAATTGCTTTGATATGAATTCAAATTGAATTAATTGGAAATGATTCAAATAAACTGAATTGGCAAAAATACAAAAATAGTCTATTTTGCATTTTATTGGGTGTGTCTGGTCTGGGTAACTATAGTGATTGAAGATTCCTACAAGTCTTTTTTCACTTAAAGGAACTTGGCTTGGAATATTGCATGAACAGATTTTTACATCAATTTTTTTTTCTGTAGTAGACCACCTTAAATTGAACTGAGCTGATTAGAATTTATTTGATTAAAATTCAAATAGAATTGAAGGATTTGAATTAAATTGATTTGAATTATATAGATTTGAATTGATTTGAGTTACATAAAATCCAATTGAATGGATTCATGAAATTGATCTCGGAATTGGTTTCAACTTGATTTGCATTGAGTTGAATTTATTGCAAGTGAATTGATTTAGTCAATTATTAGATTTAGTTACAGGTATAATATTTCTATTCTGTTTGAAAGCAGTAAATTCAGATCCATTTACTGCTGTTCGGGCCTTACACTGTAAAGAGTTAATAATTAATGGCTAGTGGCCGGTTTAAGTTCTAATTACTATTCATGGAAATAAGGAATTGATTATGCAAACATCACTAAATGTATATTACTGAGGCCTTTATTTTGCCTTTATTGTTCCACATCTGGAGTTATTTTGCTGCCAAATTATTTTGCTGCCCACACTAAATTAATTTCCAACTTACAAACAAATTATTTAATCTCTGTATCAATTATTCGAAAAATTACCTGTTATTTGCCTAAAATTTGTGCAAAGCCTCCACCCTGTCCTTATATATATAAAATACAAGAAATTTCCTGCCAAAAGCAATTGGCCTGAAATGTTCATGCAGTAATCTTTTGTCAGTTCTGGGAAGTTATTTAACCACTTTTTGTCAATGTTCATTTTTAAAGTGAACTTCACAATTTACAATGCCCTGATGACAATTCAGAAAAATATATGAGCTAATAGACCTTTTTCATAATGACTTCAAACACAGAAAGTATGATGTTACACAAAGTTTGATTGGCTTGATAGTTTTGTGGAGCCAATCAAATTTCATGTAACATCATACTTTCCGCGTTGGAGGTCATTATAAGTAAGGTCTATTCCATAGCACACACACTAGTAGTCAATATAAGCAAACCGCCAAATAGACTACAGTATTGTTATGGATGTGGAAGTATTATGTGAGCTGTCAACGTTTTTAGATTTCATGATAAATATTTCTGTGACTCTGTGAGTGTGAAAAATTAACTGTCATTCAAAGCTTTATTAATACCATAGCATACTTACTACCATTATCATGCAATTATCTAGCCAAATGCTTTGACCTATGCAATAATCATTTGGATTAGTTGTCTTCATTTAAGCTTGAATGAGGTTATCCAACATAGCTATTACAACAAATGTATTATACTATATTGAGATACATTTGCCATGTATTATGTCTATGGTTTTTAAGCACAGTACATGTCTGCCAGCCCGGAAATATTTAAGTTAATTTGATCTTTTATCTTTTTGTTTGTTAATTCTCCTGGAAAATAAATATAAGCTATTAGTATAATTTCAGTATTGAAAAATGGCCTTTGAGCATTCTGATTGGCTCCCTCAGCAGTAACTCTGAGGCAATAGTTACTGCTCAGAGCAGTCTGAGCAGTAACTATTGCTTTTCCCCAAAAAAACATGGCTGAAAATACTCAAAATCAAAATTATATTCATAAAATAAACACGTGTATCAGTTGTATTTATAAATAAAACTTTTTCAATACTGAAATTATACTAAAACAATTAGTCGCCTCAGGATCGGTGATTACAAGCCTATATTCACTTCGCCTTCGGCTCAGTGAATATAGGCTTGTAATCACCTCGCCTTCGGCGACTAATTGTTAAATGAAAACTTTTAAGTAAATATCAATTAGTACTTTATACCTTCAAAATCTGTAGCATTTCGCTTTGGAAAACCTAACCTGTCTCTCGTTCTTCAGACCTTTGACTGGCTGGAATTCGTGTGACTCTGATCAGGTCATCAGCTCCATATCGATCGATCAGCTCTTCGTTTTAAATGTTACCTCATATTTTTAATTTCTCCAAAAATGTGAAGTTGCTTGAATTATTTTCATTGTCTGTGCGCAGAGGTCTGTGCGCAATCATGCAGAAGTTCAGTGAATAGTCCAGTGTTGCCGTGTGAAGTCTTTGATCTGCATGTGCTCGACAGCGTCAGAGGGTTACATATTCACACTTTGTTTTAGAATCGTTTAAAGGATATGCAGGACCGTATTGAACCTGGGGTGTCATTTGTTGACCAGGCGCTATGGTTGGACAGGCAGTTGGCATCTCGTCCTGTCCCTGTATTTGATCCATACGCCTTGATTGGGGCTCTCGAGCATTTGGAAGACGTTGCATGTCGGTCGCCCACAAAGATGTTCGGCGGTATCAAACTGCATGTAATGCCTAGTTTCCATTCAGTCGTTAGCTGTCGTTACATGTCTTTCCGTGTCTTTGGAATAATCGTGAAAAACTGATAACGAATAATGGGAAGAATCATGTCGTTTCCTGTCTTTTTATGTCGTTGAGATAGGATTTGTTCTATCCGAGCGACACTGTCGTTTTCTGTTTCTCTCAGTTGTTATCGGTCTTTCACGATTATTCCAAAGAGTCAAAGACACGGAAAACATGTAACGACAGCTAACGACTGAATGGAAACTAGGCATAAGAGTTAAAAGCTTCCCTTGACGCCCCAAATGGGCGATTTTGTTGCGGCCAAGCTTATAGTGAAGGTACACGGGGGCCGTCCATTTCGCCGTGTATGATGCTGCCCAAGCCGTTGTCCTCATCCATCCCCAGCCATGCCATATCCTTCGACTCCTGGGCCTCGGCCATTCCCGTCTGGAATACGCTGTTTTCACTGTCGGCGTTTTTTCCGCAATTGTCCACAGAAGAAGTAACTGCTATTTCTCATCTCTATTAACGTGTTTTTGTCCTTTGTAACATCTGCTTTAACCCAGGGTTAACGCTAACCGGACTTTGTGCAACGCAAATCAACCGAGGTTTAAAATTTAACCCTGGGTTAGGCATTTTTAACCCTGGGTTAGTATTAGCCGGCTTTTGAACAACCGGGCTCAGTCAGTGTACAAATCCTTCTCGGGCCGCCTAACTTCCAGTCAATATGTTTTTATTGTTAATTTGGAAGAAATGTCGAATTCTTGAGGAATTGATCAAATTAATTGCCGGAAACTAGCGTATGAACTGTGCAACTTTTGGAGCTTTTTTGAAATTCAACCTAATAGGTGGAATAGTTATTCTGCTTATTCTATTATTCATGCTCTAAAGCATCTAAAAAACTGACCAGTTTTAAAATGGACGTAAAATTCTGCTTCTGCTTCATTTTTTTTATCCGCGTGGAACAAATACACTGGCGGAGTGGCGGTCCTATTTTTCGAAAATGAAAAGCACCCCATCATGTGCAAGCCACATGTGCAAAGCTACCGGAAGCTGTTGAAATTGTCACATGGATTACATATAAATACATTCAGTTTCATTATCGATCAATACTGAAACAGTTGAATCATGGCTAGCTGTAGTTTTAAGATCCTGCTGTATTTTATCATTCACTTATGGAAACTTGAACAGATTCATAGTGCAGTGTCTTGCGTTGGTGAAAATGGAAAATATGTTGATTGGTATATGATCCTTTTTATTTATTACTTATTAACCCAATATTTATACCACAGCCTTATAAATGATGTCAACAAACTCTCAGCATGTCCGCCACTTTCTCACTCTTACAAATTTGTGAATCCCTCTAGCTTATATAATTATACGTTTGACCTACTGCTAGACTCGTCGAATTTATGTGTACGACTTAGTAAAATAGAAGGCGGAATATTAAAATATAAGCGCTATATCTGTGCTAGCTATCCATTCGTATGCCCTCACAAGTTTCGCTATCGATCACGCACATTGTGAATTGTTTACCAATCAGAAAATCGACAGGAAATTAACAGGAAATCACGATGGTCTCTATTTTGAGAATGTACTCTGGTATAAGTACCTTAGTTTAAGTTAGCTAAGTGGCTTGGGATTCCGAGTATAATGAGCTGTACATATTATTCGATCATATCAGTTTTGCCTTTAAACAAGATTTACAACTTCATACGCTGTCACGCAGGCCTAGGGTTCAAAAGGAACGCGAGTCGCGATCATTTAGCAGCGGTGTATTTGTGTATTCGTGTTTGTGAAAATAACCGCGGTATATAATATAAATTATTTGACGGCAATAAGTGACGTCACTCAGAACGATCAAGTTTTCTTCCTGCACAGCAGGCTCAGTTTACCAGCGGCCAAAAAACGAAGCAGCTAAATATCAGCTTTTCAGGCCAGTGAGCTCAATTTTACAAAAGATATCACAGTCTGACGATATCAGCCTGCACGAATATATAAATATACATCAACCAGGTTATCGCGTCTTGGTTAGGCCTTCTTCGAAAGATTGTCTTGTTTTAAAATACTAAAGCGCATTTCAGATACCTTTATATCAATGAGAATCTCATGGTTAATTCATGTGCAGTATCATAAGATTTTCATGATTTTCCATCAGATCAGCCGGTTCAGTTTCTTTTGTCATGCATGCACAAATCGTCCCACGGTCATGCATATTGACTGATTGAAGCACTATAGTCCTGACTTAACAATAATCTCGGTCTCCAGCGTCGTTTCTTTTTTCTAGGTTTATAGTTTACAAGTTGCCGAAAATTAAAGAATCCGCTCGTCGTTATGTGACAATGGGGCTTGGGTATGCTTATATGGACAGTGAAACAAAACAGTTTACACTATCCGACAAATCGATTGGGAGCAATGTAAGCGCAGTTGGCTATACCTTGCAGCAGATTTATGCAGCAGCAAACGGTACAGGATACATCATGTATAATGACGAAGATCCTGAAGGTGAACCAATATGGCTTCTTGTAGTTCGGAGTTGATCGCTTGTCAGTGAACGTAATACTAGATACGAAACAAATTTTATTCTGTGACTGAAAATCATCTTCTGTCTCTGCATGTGTTCTCATTCGTCTCAGTTTACACGCAAAAACAGTCGACTTGGCTTCTTTATCGAAACAAGTTTTCTTGCGAGCATTCGAAGCTCTCCGTGACTGTTTTCCCATTCTTCGCTCTGCGAGAAAGAAATTGACTAACTTCAAGTTTGCTGCGTTTTTATGTGCGATTTTCTACTTTTCATAGATGTGAACGGTAACAAGTTACGAATGCTCTTATGTGTATATGAGCTTATATTTGAACTTAATCTGAGGTCGAACGTCGGGAAGTGTTTTGTCAATCTGGACAATTGTTATATCACATTTGATGCGAAGTAACTTTATCAGTGTTAGATGTTAGATCAAACGTTGGAAACTATTACCTAACTGTGTCCTAACAAACTATCGTAATTGTATTATTAGGACACCAGCCACTTAACAGAGGTCACACGAAGGGAGACCTTGCATTCGACAAAACGTCAGGATTCTGGTTAATACACAGCGTTCCCACGTTTCCACCTTGTGCAACAAAGTCGTACAATTATCCTGAATCTGGTGAGATATATGGACAGTCGTTTATATGCGTCACTTTCAACTATTCAGTTTTTAATGAAATTGGTAACCAACTCTTGTACAATGGTCCAAATATCTACGATAATTTTCTACCAGAATATCTTGCCAGTGGTGTACCAAATATCCAGAAGGCAATTGATGGTATGTCATTTAGGCGTTTGTCACATAACATCATAATTACTAAGGTTGAAATTTATGTGCGATTTTTCGCTGGTTTTTTATGTGTGATTTTCCTCTTTTGATAGATCTGAATGAGTAATTATAGCTGTGATTTATGAAAATCGCACATTAAATCGCAGCAAAAATTGCAAGTGTAAACGCTCCTTTAAATGGCTCCCTACAGTTTAATGAAGTTGTTAAATACTGATTTTGAACAGGAATATTAAACCATCTAAATGTTTGCCTACAACGCAAAAACTTTAATATAACTCTTGGTCAACATATGCAGAGAATTTATTTCGCACTTTCGCTTGGCAACCGTTGCTATAGCAACAGGCGTTTCAAAACAGCCGCCAAATAGAGTTTAATCAATCGGACACGAGTTCGGTGACCCCCGATTTTTTTTTGCATTAACATTTTAGGCTTTGGATGATAGTAAAACTTTATTTTTACTTTATTGATATATTTAGACTTTATTGATAGTAAAATTCTATGTAGTGCGATTTTTTATATGTCGAAAAATGTTATTTTAGCCCTTTAAAAAAATTCTACTCCACAGATTTTTTTGAAAATTCTCTATCGATAAAGCATATACGAAGTGTAAAATTTTTATGCAAAAAAATCGGGGTCACCGAACCCGTTTCCGTCATAAACTTCATTAAACTCTATTTGAAATGCCTCTGTCGTATTAGCAACGGATGTTAAGCGAAAATTCGAAATAGATTTCGGCTCTACGTATGTTGACTAAAAGTTATATTAAAGTTTAGTGTTCTAGCCAAACATTTAGATGGCTTAATATTCCTGTTCAAAATGTGTATTTGACAATTTCAATAAACTGTAGGAAGCCACCTTAAAGCACCTGGGAAACATTCTGCATGTCCAGTCGTATGAACTCCAAATATGAACTCAAAATTAACTTCAGGCACATTAATTTTTTTAGTATTTCCCACAAAGCATGTGTAAAACTGGAATTTTGCATCAAGTTTACACATACTTTCCTATTTTATTTATAACTTGCGCCATACACTGTTAGTCATAGAAGAGACATAAACAAGTTTCATAATTAGTTCTATAAGATCGTAATTTTATAATATATTCTGAATCACGTATATTGCGCGGTTGTCTTCACTAATAGGACAAGATGAAAGTGCAATTTATAAATTGTGAATTAGTAAATGTAACAAAATGAAAATGAAACTAGTTTCATTCGTTGAAAGAAAGATTACTGAAATTTATCAGTTCAGTGCAATGTCTTCGCTCGTTCCGTAGTTATAATCAATCAAACCGGAATACTTTATTTATGAAACCCGCAGTAGATATTTTAGAGATTGTATTTTGTAGAGGGGAATAATTTTCAATGTGATAACTGTAGGATAACCTTCCAAAATCGGGATTATCTCGTAACAATTTAGGTATGTTTTCGTTGCTGAGGATTACCCTGTTATGATATCAATGATGTTCACGGCCCATTGGCAGCTAGTGTTTTGGAATAATAATGCATCAGCAGCGCTTTTTGTTATATAACTTTTCTTATCTTAGGAAAATACAAATACAACAAGCCATACGAAAACGTGGTGAAGCTGAAATCGGCGGGAGGTACAACGCATACAAGTTTCGCAAAAAGTAAATACTTTGAAAGCGACCTGTATAGCAATCTTGTTGCACCTTTCTATGATACTGACCTTTTGGTTGAAACTTGGCAGAACGGTGCGGGAAAGTTACCACCAAACTGTAGTGCACTGACCGTAGAGAATGTATCGGAAATACGTTTGGCAGGAGAATCCTTTAAAGAGACTAAGGACCATTCCAAATGGACTGTTTCCAAGATGGCATCGGAAGAATTGGTGTGCATTGGTGATATAAATCGAATGGTATGCATGCGAAATTCGTATTTCTTCTTTCTTTATATTTACTTTCTATATGAGGTTTAAATTTTCAAATAGAGTAAAAAAGCTTAAATAAAGTTATCTTTCCTCCTTCAGAAAAGCCAGTTTAAACGAGGTGGTGGCACGTTGTGCACAAATAATGCTGACATCTGGAAAGCGTTTCGAGAAGCTGTCACATCATTTAAATCTTGTCCAGAATTTACCGCTTGAGCCGAAATCAGAGCACAACAATAAAATTTAATTATTTAGTAACAATATTACGAGCATACTTAAAGGAATACTTTGAACTTTTAATAGTGCCCACCTGTGCACTTGATTGTTTTTCTTGATCAGGGTAATTTACGTTGGCATAATTATATTTGTGCATGCATTTATATACCATAAATGCATGGAGGATAAACTATAAAACTATATACAACAGTATGGAAGATAAACTATAAGACTATAAATGTTTAGGTAACAAAATCTATATCTGTGATCTATCACTTCGTTACACTACTGTTTTTTTTCAACATTTTTCATCAGCGAATGTCCGGGGCTCCTAGGTGGTGACATGATGCGTAACAGAAGCCCCGTTTACACTACACTCAATTTATCGGCACGGCACGGCTAAAATTGGTACCCGTACCCAATTTTATAAGTGTTCAGGCTACCAAAACAAAGGCCGAGCACAGATGAAATGGGCACGGGTCCCCATTTTAGCCGTGCCGTGCCAATAAATCGAGTGTAGTGTAAGCCCCATTTACACTACACTCGATTTATTGGCACGGCACGACTAAAATGGGTACCCGTGCCCACTTCATCCGTGCCCGGCCATTGTTTTGGTACCCTGAGCACTAGTAAAATTGGGCACGGGTACCCATTTTAGCCGTGCCGTGCCAATAAATCGAGTGTAGTGTAAATGGGGCTGTAAACAGGGCTAGAGCAGTGTATACCTCGTCTTAAATATCCCATGCAACCAACCTGACAGAAAATAAAACTAGAAAGGATTCCTCCAAAAGTTTCTTTTATCATGCATCCAATTGCTCTTTTGAGTAAAAATTTGGTAACTAGACAATTCAACTGCCTTTACATTGTCACTATATTCCATGTTTAAGTGCAAGATCTGTTTTAGACCAACCGAACTAATCTTGAGCTATAAATATATAACGGTGTATTTTTACCGTTGGTAAATCGCAAAAAACATGCGTGATACAGAAGGGGTGATACAGCTTCAGTTTCAGACGTTTAGACCATAAAATATCATAAGGGTCTTAAATTGCAAACTTAAATTTTCGACAAAAGAGCATGCCAGTTCAGAAGTTCTGTCTCTTTAGTATTTCGCTCTCCCACTTCTAATCCTTTGTCGTCTGTGTTCGCAATTTACCTTGTATTTAATAAGTGAACCAGCCTCGTACCCAGGCGCTTTATTGGAAAACATAAAGGCTGCATTCAGCGTAATATAGAGATCTGTGGCTGAGATGTGCGAGCGCGCAGGGGTAAAGGAAGCTTCGTTCTCCCGTCGCGTCCTCCCCAAGCACCCCTGCGCGCTCGCACATCTCAGCCACAATCTCTATATTACGCTGAATGCAGCCTTTATGTTTTCCAATAAAGCGCCTGGGTACGAGGCTGTAAGTGAACTTAATTTATCCTTGTCAGCAAGATTTGGGTATTCTTGCATGAAGTTAAGACGAAACGTCATTTCCATTGTTAATTTTTTCATATTATTGATTTTTTATTATTCTCTCATATCTTGTTTGTTTAAGGCGTTGACGCCCTAGTCGAGTTGGTCTTTAGCTCAATCGATCAATACTTAAAAATGTTCTAAACTTAAAATATTTGTCATCAACAGTTATTAAAATTTTCAAACACAGCTTCTGTGAACCATATTTTGCAACTTAACTACATATACTACCATTTTAATCAAATTAAGCTTTCTCTGACGTAATGCTTAAAATGCTCGACCGCGCGGAATATCAAACACAATTGATTGACATGCATAAAAACTTTGCAGCTGCCTAAAGCATATTTTTAAATGCAACAGTTAAACTTGGCATCGAAATACGACTGTTGATCCAGATGCGCACGTTCTCACAGGGTGATTGTTGTTCTCACCTTACTACTTTATTCAATCCCACGAAATGTCATGCATGAAAGGAAAAGTAATTAATGGTTGAGAATGGCCGAAAATTATATTTACTCATGTGTTCTTTGTGGCAAAAATGAATTATTTATCCACGTCATTGCCAAGTGATATTTTCTATTTTACAACTATTTTTATATGCATATAATTGAACATAATAAAGCCTTGCGTAACAATCAGAACAGTCATTTTGTTATAGTGTATGGGTAACCGAAATAAGGAAACCGAAAATCTCCAACTTAAATACCCACCAAGAATAAACGGTCAGATGGACATTTGTCTTAAATTTCAGTGATCATTACGAACCTCTAACTCTTATATGAACCTAGAAATAATGTAGTAAAAGTTACTTCGGCTTTGTAAGCTAACACCAGAACCGAAAACGCATCAGTTAGTATAGAGGGAGTTCTGAAGTTAGATCCCCTATTTCTGTGTTTTAATGTGAAAACCAACAAACTCATTAATTTATCCTTTATAGATGCATAGCATGATGGGGAATTAATTAAAAAAAAATACTCTAATGGTGTGGTTCACGCTTTTATAGGTTTAAAGTTTTATGCACACTACACGGGTGACAGCCGTTCTTACAAACTAAATCCCTCTGATGTCTTCTGGTCAAGATGGCGCAAAGAATTCCTCCCTACTCTACAGCCACGACGAAATGGAAAGCAGGCGAACGTTTATTCTGCCTAACCTTAGATCCGCCCACGTGATAAAGAATATAACATTGTAATGCCCAAAACAATTCTAATGAATTGTTATACAATGTTTGCTTTCGAGTTTCGCCCAGGGCATATTTCAGATGCTCTGGACAATTGCCACAAGTTGTTTACAATTAGACAATTTAGATTGCGTCCCTGTATTTTCTACAGGCCATGCAAGTCTTTACTCTTTAGTGTATTGATAAAGTGTTTGATGATACTAATGTGACACTGTTGATTTTCTAAGATTTCGCTGAGTGATCTACTGCTAAATGAGTTCAGTGATACTGCACTGGCTGAAGATTTAAATAAATATGACTTTATTTAAAGGTTGAAAAATTAGAATTGCTGACAGATAGTGGATACCTATTTATATTGAGAATTTCTATCAACTATTGAGGCTTAGGAATCTCAATCTACTATTATTTTCAATGCCCGGCAAGTTTTCTGGGGAAATAGAATAATTACTACATGCATACAAAAATTATAAGAATTACTACATACATACAAAACTTTATTTTGCATACATCATGCATGTTTTCGCATGCATGATGTATTTTTTCTCAGACGACTTATATCTCATAACTTCGCTGATCTACACTTCACTTCAATAATTGAATTTACGTCAGGCACCCGTTCTTGGACCGTTTCCCCAGACCTTCGCATTTCAACTGAAATGCAAGCTACGTCTCGAAACAAATGTCCGTAGTCTTTTGTTTATCATTAGACAGATACCACCAAGTTAATGCTTCCATTGCTTTCGAAAAAACTCCACGAAGAAAGTGCACTCTATCTCTTGCTCCAATTAAAGTGGAAGCACTCATTGGATACACATCATAAATTTCAAATCCAGCTTTACACATTTGTGATAATGCATAAGCCGCAAAAAGTCGTATGCGCTACATAAAAAAGAAAATATATATGATAGAAAATATAGAAAAGAAAATATACATTTTTGGCAACGTATAAACCAGTGAGCTCTCTTTATGTAATATACGGAGTAGGAATTTGCGATTTCGTTGCTAAAAGTGGAGCTAAAGATGACGAAAATTGCACCCAAGTCCTTCACTTGACCGGGCGTGGTAGCTCGCGAACCTCGGATTTTTGTGGTTTTCTTCAGTTTAAAAAAGCAAAAGTGGACATAAAGTTGATTTATTTCATATGTATAAAACAACCTGTTTCTCTGCATCTAACTACCCGATTTTCCCACTATTGTGTGAGTATAAAATTAATTAATATGAATTCTGCACGCTGTAAATTCAACTACGTATTTTCAACTTTTGCTCCGGCTTTCGAGTGAATTTTGCTACGAGAGGCAAAAACACGTACGAGAGACGTCAATCTCCGAACCTGCCAACTGTCCCATACACCTGTAACTCGTATTCAATGAAGCAAAATATACTTACAAATGCCGTGTGATACATTCCTTCAAATTGGTAGAATGCGCCTGTGTAGCCGACGGCGGTCATAGTTTTCCAAACCACTTGTGCTTGAGAACCAAACAACTTTCGTCTATTCTTCAGCAACGTGATCACCTCGTGAATGAGTTTTTTCCACTGGGCAAATGTGAGATATTTTGTTTGGTGTGTATTGTAGTGAAGAATAAGCAAACTGCGATTACTATTCATTCCCTCGGCTTGAAAAGCAGCTCGAATTGAATCAAGATAAACGTTGAACCTAAAACGTTCACTAACATTTCCATAGCGCTCTGAAAATTTCACAGCCTTCGGGTTTGGCGTTTTTTCAAGTGGAAAAATCTTTTGCTGCCGCCAAATGCATCTAAATAAAATGTAAAATACTTTCTTGAAAAGGGTGAAATTCGAGGTTAATTTAAGTATTATCCGAGTCGCCGGGCGTCCAAGTCATTACGAGGAAGTTAGCTATGTTGATTAGCTAGATTGCCCCACTATAAAACAGCTTTTTGCTTTAGGCAGTGTTTCTATGGGTTGTTGTTCGACTTCGATTTGGGCGATTCTCAGAAATATATTTATCACCGGTATACGTAGATGGAAACCATCCTGTAAAAATAGATTGTTAAAACAACCAATTCAAGACAAAAGATTAGTTCTTTAACTTCTTTTATATCCACGTTTTTAATTTTTTTAAGGTGACTACCTACTACAGTTTATTGAAATTGTCAAACACACATTTTGACCAGAGATATTAATCCATCGAAAGTTTTGGCTAGAAGACTAAACTTTAATATAACTTTTTGGCAACATATGTAGAGCCGAAATCTAATCCGAAATTTCGCTTGGTAGTGTACATAAACATTGCCAGTTCAATTTTGCTGCATTACACCATGGCAGCAGTTTAAAATCGAAGTTTCAAACGATTAAAACAGTACAAAATCCTCACAGACAAAGAAAAAAACCTCAAATGTTATTTTATTCTGTGACTACATGCAGTCGACAGCTGAAAGTTCTATACTCATATTTATAGTACGTGTGCATTTTTGATGTCAAAATTCAAATTACACTTTCAAAAACACTTTTTGAAGTTAAAGCAAAGGTGTAATTATAGTTTTTCACAGGTTTATGCGTTTGCATAAAAAGCTGAAAGTTATACAAATAAACGGCATGCAAAGCTGAAAATTATACAAATGCAGCTCATCCTTACCGCGCGCGAAACATATACGATATAAACAAAGTAAACACGTGCCCTTTGAAAACACTTGTAAGCTTGCAGATTATGAATTATTTCTCCTACATTACAAAACCACCCAACGTCGACCGTTCATGACATAGAATTTGGACAACATTGGATTCCGCTATGTTCTCCCGGGTTTCGGCGGGTGCAATTCCCAATCTCCGAGCGGAATTAGTACCCTCGGGGATTAAAGTTTAGTCTTCTAGCCAAAACTTTAATAAACTGCAGGGAGCCACCTTTCCATGCATGCAACAAGTATTTGCGCTGATTAGACTATACCATTTACTTTCGTCATGGGCAATGAACTGAGTAATTATTGAGGCATTGAGGCACGCTATGCTTGGATCGCTATGAAATCAACATTATTGAACAATTTTTAAGGGCAAAAGGGTTTTTTAAGGGTTTCGACTGAATAAAAAATGAAATCCATTAAGTTTAGTTACAAATGTTAAATTTGCATTTGAAACATGCATGGTCTTGATGCGGTGTAAAACCTCTTCGCTCAGTGATTGTTGCTGTTTGTTGACAACGGTCCGGATTAAACTAAACCGTAAATATTTAAACCTATAGTCTTAACCTACCGTTGCAAAATGCTTTCATTCCATTGGTGTATTTTTATCAAGTCATTGGTGTATTCTCACCAAGTTTATATTTCATTGGCTTTATAACTCCCCAAATCGTTCGACCACTTTCTTAACTGCACAGATACGAGCTAATATCGGTCTAGTGAAGAGCCAACCTCGCGAACCAGGCTTTAATTAAGCCGTGGAGCGTAGGTAGAAAAGCCCGGCTTGCGCTTTTGATGAAGAGCAATCAGATTGTGTATATAACAATTTTAGACGATGAACCTAGAAAATATGCGAAAACAGGACTATACCTGTTCCAAATTTTTTTTCCGTGACATAATTTTTTTCTGTGAAAATATTCTTGCGAAAACATTCTGTTCGTAGAGTCACCGACTATGTACAAAGTTTCAAGAGGTTGTCGTCTTTCTTTTGCCACACGAGTCATGTTCAAATCATGGTCATCTGTTTTCAGATACGGTTTCCAGACTTTACCAATCCATCTTCCGAGGCCAGTCCATATCGAACGACAGTTTGTAGCGCAAGAGCGATGGTGAAAAACAGCTGGATAAAAAAAACAATATCATCACATAATTCGAATACTCGTAGATTAGCTTTTAAAATCGTTTACTTCTAAGGTGTCATTTACTCAGCTTCGACGTATAGTAATAAAAAACAGGCCATTAAACCCAGCCTATATCTTTTAAACGACTTCACCATCAATTGGTCGTGATTGTCCTGAGTAAGGCATTTTCATCGATATGAAAATATCGATAAAATTCTAATACTACTCAAATATGAACTATTTTGACATGTTAACGATATAGTTGGGACTAAATGTAAAAACAGCCTTTATAATGATTTATAACTTTACAATTATATGTAGTATCGTACGTGTATTAGCGTATTTTCTTTTTTCTTTATATTATGTTTGGTAAACAGAAAGGGACGTCGAGACTCTTCGATTCGGAACGGTTTTGCACTTTGTTTCGAGGTTCAAAAGAACGATTTTTAGATCTGACAGTTGAGAAACAATCCAAAATTCGTAATATATTTAAAACATATAGTCAAACCCTTGAACTAGTTCGCCTTTTATATACTTTAGTTTAGCGCAAATTGTAGTATATGATACGGGTAATTTAGTTTTTGTCAAGACCGGCGGAAGATATTTTATTTTGGGGAGGCTAATTGAAAAATTCACACTGACTGCCACAAAATGGCTAAAAAATTGTTAACGGTGGAAACCAAGAATACGAATGCATGTGTCCATATATAATCTCTAATTTCAATGTTCTTTTCGAAGTGTTTTTACTTGTCCGTCTTGTCTTTACTGCATGTATTTTGGGGGCTAAGCCATTTCATATTTATTTTTGGGGCGCTACAGAAGTCCCCAGTCCCCCGCTGCCACTGGTTTTTGTAATAGTCCAAACGGCTCAACAAAAACCAATATCTTAGTATCAGAACAGCTTAAAACATTTTTCAAAAAAGAAACAACTTACATCTCAGTCTTTTTTCCACATCATCACGGCTTTCTGGAACATGAAACCTGATCTTTGTGGTATCTATACCTCCCCACACGTAAAAACGCCTCGGTGGCAAAGGGGCTATCTCTTCAGAAACGTTATATATCCGCTTATAATGACCCTTCATAACTGTTTCAAAGAAAAAATACTTTCGTCACGTTGACGCATTGGAGCAAAACTACGGTACATTTTTCTGGCTTATCCCTTCAATCCAGACGGTCTTGATCAGGGCGCTTATATATATATATAAGCGCCCTGGTCTTGATGTAACATTCACCGCTTAGTTCGACAATAAAACAATAAAAAGTTATTATCTTTGAGTTTAAATATATGCAGGGTGCATCAAAAAAGATAAGCACGCACTCAGTGTTCAAAAATATTCACTATGTGAACTACACAATTATAGAGGTACTATTGTGCTTAATAACAATATGAATATTAATTAAGTGGTTGCCTTTTTATACACCCTGTACAATGTAATAACTAATTGTTAGATAATTATCATTTTGTCGCTATGAATATTAATATTAGGATCTGATGATGAAAGTGATAGATCTCAGTGGCAATAAATAACTGATTATAGGTTCATGAAGCAGGCATACCAATCATGAACATGCATGGCAAGTGATCCTTTCGGTCAGTGAAGACGTTCACATCCATGATTACCATAATCAACACAACTGCATGAAAAATCATGCGCCAAATGCACAAAATATATCCGAATAAGTATACGCCATTATCAATCCACAAATAGTAAAAAGATACAGCTGATAATGGTAAGATATAGCTGGCAACCATTAATTAATAGGATGAAGAAAGGAAAAGCAATTCTCAAATTAAATTTTCAAATTCAGAAGGCTAAAACTAATTTTATGAAATAGAGCATAGGTTATTCTGGAGCGATGCTGTAGAAAATAGTTTTCCCAATGTTGTAAAAACTGAAGTATCTATTGGTCAGTTTAAAAATGTTCGCAATAGCCATATGATGTGTAAATTTTACTTTTTTGTTGTTTTTCTTTTCCAAATTTAAATTTATGGAAATAGGACGCATATAGTTAACATATAGTTATATCAGGTAAATTTCATGTACAATAATGTTTTTAATATTTTGCATGCATGGAAACTGCCCCTTGAAAATTGTTTTTAATCAAGGGCTATCGTTTTTAAAGAAATTAAGTATAATTGCACAAAGTCCAGGGTAATTAAGTGTTGATTGTGAAATCAAACGCGTGGTTACAAAATGCGATTAGTAATCACAAGTTTGACTTCATACTAAAATTGCACGACAGGCAGTGCAATTTTTGAAATCTTATCAGTTCCGAACCAGAAGCGTATTAATTCTCTCAATCCAAACAAATCAAATCAATCTTAATGAAATCAAGTATTTTATCGTTCACTCTCATTGGCGTCAGCTTACGATTTAGAACGTAGTCAATTTGACGTCGCTATGCCACATTGTTTTCCCTCAAAGAATTGTGCAAATCAGACGATTTAACGACATTTTATTATTTCACACGATCGTTTATTATTTTTTAGAGGGAATGGATGGGCGATTTTCGGATATTTCATATTTTGTTGGATCACTGCTACCAACAATCAGCCAAACTAAAAATTGCAAGTTTCAATTTCCCAATTTTGTTTGAAAATAAAAATAGCCCACATATATCGATACTTATTTGAAAACTTTGAACTCCCCCATTTTCATTGACGAAATGTTCAAGCCCCGCCCCCATATCTCACCCACCTCTCCTGCCGTAAATAATGAACTGTTTCATATAGCTATACCAACACAGATGCCAACTTACAATAAGCGTAAAACGACGGCTTTGGTTCTCGGTATCCTTCACACAAACTTCTCTCTATAATCGCTATTATAGTGTAGTAACCTGGATCGACTAGTAAGGCTATAGCTTCATAGCTACCGTTGTTGTGATCAAAAACTGTCGCAGTGACATTAACAGGTCCTGAAAAGATTACCTTTTTTAAAAAACATAGTCACCATTAGTTCTGTGCGTAATATATAAATATACATATATTGTAATTAGAGCGGTCAATACTTTATAGGAATTATTGGCATACCAATAAAGATTTTATTGCTTCCTTTTATTGCAACCGCATACAAATGTAAGCAAGCGATGTAATTAATACATCACTGAGAAATTTTTATTAATTTGCAAACCCCATATGGGTACATTAAACAGTAGAAATGCATGAACTTGCTAACAAATGCCGTCACGGAGGAAAGCTTTTATTAAAGAACGTGTAGCGAACGAGTATATATAAGACCGAAGTTAGCTGGCACACTTTAGACCTGACGAGAGAGCACTCACTTTGGAGTGTTTTCGAAACAAATTTGTCGTTTTTATGTGTAAATAGCCTTCTTAAACGTTGTATATAGCTCCTTTTGTCGAGCACTTTTATGACAAAGACTATATATATATATATATATATATATATATATATATATATATATATATATATATATATATATATATATATATATATATATATACACACCCATTTGCAAAAACGTTGGCCGCAGATAGATAGATAGATAGATACTCGAAGTCTAATTAGAATTGCATATGAATACATTTGCATGGGATTTCAATCATATTACACAACATATGCACTGAATTCTAATTAGATTTCGGGTATCTATCTATCTATCTATCTATCTGCGGCCAACGTTTTTGCAAACGGGTATATATATATATCTATATATCTATATATATATATATATATATATATATATATATATATATATATATATATATATATTAATATATATATATACACTCTCCCATCATTTGACGGCCGCCGAAGGACATGCATGGTTGCCTGGTTGTTAACTTTGGCTATTATTTTATTTCATGAAATAGAATGGAACTATCAACACAAACGTACCATCCAGAAGTCTCCTCCTATTGCTTTATATCGGCCATCTGTAGTCCTTGTACGAATGAAGATTCTAGAGAACTGTCCGGTTGGACGAATTTCCGTATACTCCACAAAACTTTTCTTTACCGAAGTTGCGTTCATTCCGCCCCACCCGATCATTGCTCTATTTACCACTGAGTTTACATAGCCGCATGGAACAAGCATTGCCTTCCAATCGACTCTCGCACGCTGCATCCTAAACCATTGCTTCTGGAAATCCTTTTCAACATCAGCCCCATCCATAGTCTTCCTGTCTTTACCTTCCCCGGATATAACCCCGCTTTCGATTTGATCATGAGCCCCTTCAGTTGAAGAATACATAGGGGCATGAATGTTCAAGGTGAACAAGTGATGTGTAACTAAAACAAGTACGAAAATCAATGCTATCATAAAAACGAACGACCATCGTTGTTGCAGTCTGCAATAAATCCGTTCATTGATAATGCGGTAAGACCTTCGGCTTACGTGAAGACGAGAAGGTGGTCTCTTTGATGAAACCATAGCCGTTCTGTGAAGAGAAGATATGTTGTGTTAATATGGTGCATGGGTAAAATACGAATACCAAAAACCTATAATTGAAATACCCACCAAAAATAATATTTGATTTGATTTCTTGAAAATCAGTGGCCATTACGAAGCTTAAACTCCTTTTTGGGGCTATTTTGAATTTCCAAAAGAATGAAAACATTTCTAACAACTTTAGGCTGTTCCTTTGTTATTTGAAAGTAATGGTATAGAGTGATCCTAATGGGCGATTATAAGATGAATTGTCTCGAAGTTAATAAAGAAGTTAATTGCTCAACACAAAAAGGTTCCCTAAAGTTGCTAGGGGTGAAAAAAGTTAGATACTCAAAACGTTACAGAGCACAATGAGGCAATGCCTATGTTAGCTGCAGAAGCTTGTCTACGGCAACAAATTAGATTTGAGTGAGACCATTCAACATGCATGGCCGCTAGCCGCTATTGCATTGTTTAAATTATCTGTATGATTTTGGCAGATGCGTGAACTAGTCTTAAGCCGCGCTTACATTACGTGCTTTGCACCTTTGGACGGTGCTTTGGACAGGCTTGGATCTTGTATAGGCCACAAAATCCAGGCTCAATATTCTACATTTAATACGTAATTTCAGCTGCTGACGTGCTCAGCGTCCAATAATTATTTTTTGGATCGAACTTACATCCAAACAAGACCTTGCCTTTGGAATTCGCGCTTATATAGTTATATTAAATTTTCAACCCTGTCATGCGAGCGAAATCGAATCGCACATCGGAAAATTAGCCAAAGCTGTGCACCACAACTCTTGCGAGACAAAACTGTGACATAGATAGAAACAGTCACAGACACATTTTAAGTACAAGTAGATTTCGCGCCAAAACACACTTGCGACGACGAAAAATAAAAAAAAACAAAAAAAATAAAAACAAAACAAAACCAAGTAATTATTGGACTCTCTCATGCCCAGACCTTCGCGCGCCAGCAACTTGAGCTCAAAGAGCGCGAAAATAAAATTAACATTAATAAAATAAAATAAGTAACAATGAATTTCGTTTAATCGTTTCTGATGTCTTTAAATATACAATAAAACAATTATTGGATTCGGCTTTTGCATGATATTTAACAATTATTGGATGAGGTTGAGTGTGATATCGAGAATTATCAAGCCGAAGTTTAGATTTGAGAAACTCAGACTTGATAATTCTCGATATCATGCGAAAACCGAATTCAATAATTGTTTTATTATGCATGTATTTCCTTTTTAGAGAGGAAGCCTGCGCTATTATTGATAACAAACTAGCGGAGAAAAATTAAGTCACCTACGGATAATTTTCAATGTCGTGTAGGTGGCAAGACATTTAACAGTTATTCTGCGAACTCGAGTCGTATATGAGCTGATTTTATTATATGCACAAACTTTGTCGCCCTTTCGGTGCATTTTGGTGTGCTATTATCAACTAAAGCTTGGATTTCTATTTCACTCAACTCCCCAAATCTTTCAGCCATTTTGTTTACTTTCTCTACTAGACATATATGAGCTATAAATATCGGTCTAGTAGCCAACTAATGAAATTGCAGCATACCTCATATCTGGCGCTTGTGTATATAATAATGAGATTTATCTGTAGGTTTTTAGCCAATCACAATCGAGATGCATTAGTAATGCATAATAATAAACAATTATTGAATTATAATAAAACAATTATTGAATTCTGTTTTTATGATATGCAGAGTTATCGAGATCTCGGTAAGCGTTATCAGCCTCGCCTTCGGCTAGGCTGATAATGCTTACCTCGACCTTGACAACCGTCTGCATATCACAAAAACCGAATTCAATAATTGTTTTATTATACATTTGAAGAATAGTAACATAGTATTAACGAATGAAAAACCTTATTTAATAGCAATATCCAAAAATACATCAATTATTAATACATGAATACATTCAAATGAATACCGCTTGTTAACCACCGCAGGCTCACTTGCAGATAACTCAGTTATCTGCTAGCAGATAACTGAATTTTGCGTGATTGCGCGATTTATCTGTCAACTATTAGGCAATCAAATTGCTTTTACTACTCTAATGTATAATAAGAATTATTCAGACCTCGGTCAATGCATAGGTCAATGTTATTAAGTGGTCTGAATAATTCTTGTAAAGATGTTCTGTCTAACAAACACTACTTCTTTAGTTTTTTAAACTCTTTATTTTACTCCTTGTACTCTACTAACATAATCTCAAATCTATGTAGTTTTTTAATTCGTTCTCACAACGACTACAGTGTCCATGGCAACGCTGTTAAGGGAGCCCAAGTTCAACACCAGGGGCTTCAGGGGCTGTGGTACCCAAGCCCTAGCGCATCCTTTTACAATTCTTTATATCATACTCAGCCTCACCCAATGACGCGTAATACAAAAGTATACAAAATATGCCAACTTCGCATGGCTATATTTTCTGTATTTTACCAAATTTCGCACCTAAACTTTGCCTTTGCACTAATTCAAGTACGCTCTTTGTAGCTGTGGTGATATTTTTTCTTTTTATTACTTTGATCAAGAATTAGTCTAAAGTGCAAGTCGTCCATTTTAGAGTTGAGTTATGCATACTGTCTTCGATGTAACTAAATACGCGATAGTTTGCATAGTTCGTATATTTAGACGAATTTAAATGGGTGGCTCATCATACAGTGCAACATAGTCGAGGAAATATCGCTGTCGTCGGACAAAAAAAGCGCAAGTCGTCGGACTTCCATTTATAGCTTTAGATTGCTTATATATTATATAGGGTGTCTCAGACATGGAAATCAAGAGGATATATTGAATTTAATAATATATTCCTTATGCAGCATAAAATGCAGTTATTTAGCCTCCCGATGATACACAAACATGCAACAAGAAACAGTCGGAAATTCTTGGAATATTGGGAATCGAGTCTACGCTTTCAGTGCGATGCCGGTGCAATGCTCTTGCCACTGCCGGAGCTACAGCCTACAGAGGTAGCTGAAAAGAGCAAGCGTGGTTAATAATAATGTGCATGTATTGGATGGTAAATAGAGTGTTAAGTAACTCCTCTTTTTGCTGTCAAAATTAAATCGTTGCACTCAATGGGCCCGAATTATATACCGGAGGCGGTCATCCTTAAGACGAACTTGGGCAAGCAAAATATAGTTCGTCCGTGTGTAAACACGTATTTTAGTTCGTCTGTGTGTAAACAGTAAACACGGGCAAACAGACGGATCATCCGTCAACACAAATTATCCGCATAGTTCGTCTATTTACACGAATTTGAATGGGTAGTTCGTCTGTTAGTATAAATACGGGTTAAGGACGAACTACGGAGTCGAAGGCTCTTGTGCACTCTACATGTATTTTACCACATAAATAATATCCCAGTTCCCGTGCACTTTCTAAACGCGCGATTTCGTTTCGTTTGACATATTCGTCTACATAGTTCGTCTAGATAGTGTGTCGTGTCCGTCAGACGGATCATTCGTCCAGACAGATCATCCGTCTCTTGTATAAATCGGCCAACATGTAATGCTTTACTACGTTAAACTGGTGACTCTCTTCTCGACATGCATGATAGATTTAAGATCATACAATGTATAGTCAATATACTCATTCGCAAACATACTTTTTTTCTGTTAATAATGATCACATCTGCTGGAAAATATATACTGTAGGTCAACTTTACCTTAATATATGTCAAATGAAGAGAAAAGCCGTTGTTGTAAAAAATTCCGATCTGTTCTGTGGTAGGTTTTACTCCTGTTGTGATAGCTCTCGACAATCGATAGAAAGCGGGTCAGTTAAAAGAATGCCGTAAAATTTGAATGAAATATTTGTACATGTTGTTACCACTGAGCTACAGCACAGGGTGTCTCAAAACTATTGAAATCACTCATTGTTAAAATTTGAATGCCGTGTGCACGAATTTTAGCCCTTGGGGATATAATGCAACTCAGGAAAATGCTAAATCTCTGTGTTGCTAAAGAAAGGGGACATGTCGAAGGTAATGGTGATTGAGATGCACATTTAAATATTGTTAAATATCCATATTTGTAAATTGTAAATATTGTTAATAATCATCATTTTCGCGTATGAGCAAATCCTGCATCATATGCATGCATAAAAATGATTATGGCAAACATTTACACACCTGTGGGTCCCAACAGAGTGCTTAGGCATTCAAACTCTAACAATTGCATTGTTATGCGTAATTTCAAAGGTTTTCGTTTTTTTTTAGTCACCTTAGTAGGTTACCCCCCCCATCCAGCGGAAAAAACACGCAACGCGTGGACCCCACGCGGGACGTCGGAAACTATCGGATTTTCCCGAAGATATGCGTGGTCTCTACGCATGATGAGAGTGTGACGTTAGTAAACCGTAATTAAGTACACAGAAAAGATTGGCGAGGAAAATATTTTATTTGTCAGGTTACACATTTCGTATATTAACATTTTAATAGTATCTTCATAACATTAGGACTGTTTATTTTAAAAGTTCGTTTTCTATGTATGCTTTGCGATGCTTCCCCACCTCTAGTTCATACTTTGATTTTTATCAGTTTATCGTAACAAGTGTCAATATGTCCATAACGAATGCACGAGCGCCATATTATTTCCATACACCAATTGTCATGTTATCGACAAGAACATCCAAGATTTTATAACGTTTGTCAATATATCCATGACGAACGCAAGCGCGCCAAATCATTCGAATAAACCGTTTGTTTGTAAATGTTTGACTTTCATCCCAGATAGGTATCCATCTTTCTTTTCCTTTTCCGTCAGTTCATTTAGAACTTTATTTTTAAGACTGGAAAAACACATGTCGATACGTTGTATAAGTTCGTCCTTCCATAAAAATCTGATGTTGGCTGTCATAATGTCGAATGATGAGTAATATGCTGTAGCGTTTTCACAGTAAATGAAGCATCTTCGGTTACAAGATCCGCCTATTGTTAACGAAACTCAAACCTAATAGCTCTTTTAATGTTGGCGATACTGCGATAGTAATGAATTGATCAGACATAAATATAATAATAAACGTGAATAGACGTGAATATAATAAATTACGCTAAAAGCATTGCATTGAAACGTTTCCCCTGGTTAGTTTGCTAACAAATATTATACACTAAAGGATTCGGGGTAAAAAATTTTTACTCAATTTACTAACCCTATTAGTGAGGTGGCTATATTTTAATATTAGCGACACTGGGATAATAATGAATTGATCAGATACAGAGGGATTAATGTGAATATAATTAATTACGCCAGAAGCGTTGCATTGAAACGTTTCCCATGGTTAGTTTACTCATAAATATCACACGCTAAAAGCATATCAAACTCTTTCCCTATTGAGATGAACATTTGCTCAAACTAGTGTCCAGTTTTTTTCTGTTACAAAATGCGCGCCTTGTAAAACAATATGGTGTCTAGACCAAAGCGCACATTATGCAAACCTCAACGTTTTGTCCACGAATTTGCGGTTCGATGTGGAAAAAATCATTTAAACGGGAGGCGAAAGACAATAACCTCTACGAGGTTGAGATTAAAGAGGTTGATCAAAAAACTAAACGTGTTCGTACGCATTTTAAAGGATACGATTCGCGTTTTGATGAATGGCGACCCTATAGGCTATGGCAAAGATAATATATTTCCCGTTTCTTCAGCATGAAAAGCCTCGTGTTTTGGCCGCCGCTTCAACATAGACGATAGAGTCGATAATATAAACAACAATAAAACCTTTTGATTGAAATTCGCTCTTACACGCGCAGGTATAGCCGATGTGAACGATATTAATGTCCCTTATTCCAGCATATTATATAATATATACACAATATATCAATAAGAAAATCACTGTAGCAGCGTAGGCTATTGCCAACGCTATTTACAGTGTATATTTAGACAGCATTTGTCAGGCTTAAAATTTGTCAAATATACACAACTGTGGTATTATACAGTACTATATTAAAGCATACAAGGTGAAAATATAAAATTCCCTTGCCTGCTTATCTCGTAAGTAAACGGCGGGCCTCCATTCCGATTGTGTTCACATCACCAACAGCAGAGACTGCATTAATCAATGTGTGAACAACATATGTAAATGCCGACCAATGTCGCAAAATACCTACAGTTCATGGCCATCGGTCCGAAGCTAATTCACGTTGAATATGTACGAAATTCATATCAAAATACGCGCCAAAACATGTAGATTTCAATTCCGAATGTAAGGAAAAGAAATATTGTATAGTGGAAGCAGTACGAGGAGTTTTCCCGCAACTTCCGCTCTAAACGGCGATTTTTGACCAATTTTCTTATATAGCCCGCAACATTCAACCCCCAAAGTCCGACTCCGGGATACGACGAATCTTTACCAAAAACAATAAATAATGTGTGGCATAGGTCTAAATTTGATAATCCGCGTGTAAGTGAAAGATAGCTTCAGTTTCTAAGGCACACGAACAGAAAAAGCGCTTATTTTGGACAAGTTTGTATTGCGCACTGCTGGGGGTATCATCGCTTGTAACGCGATATAGACTATTTGTATAGCGAGAGTTTGATATGGATAATTCAGGGGAAATAAGTTTACTCAATTTCCAAACTATTTGCCTTAATGCATAATTTGACTGAAGTGACTCTTTCACAGTGACATTGTGAAACAAAGCGAAAGTACGTGTGAGGAAAAGTAACGATTTAGTTCATTGATGATAAGAATAATGTGTGTATGATTAATATGAAATGATTAATATCATCGAGATTTCGTTTACGTTCTTTCGAAAATTTGGGGGTTCTTAAAAAAAAAACGGGTTTTTTTTTCTTCTTTTTCTTCTTCTTTTCCTTGCTTTAAGTCTTCTCCAGCCATATCACGAAGGCGTCAACCTCAACTTTTGCGCAGTGTTGATACGCCCAGGCATCCAAGTGGTTTCCGCAGGTCTCCAACCAACCCAGCTGATCAAATAATTTATTTGCCTTGGGACAACCAAGGCATTCCAAATTAATTGAAGGGATTCTTAGTTTTGTTAAGAGATCCCTTTCAATTATCCTACCTTTGTAGGCAATCGCGGAGTTTGGATTCTTTTTTATTTTCCTGTAGAAATTATCCACGATTGCCTCGAAGTTTTCTGCGATCGTCGCTTCACAAACCCTCTCCAATGCCTCGTCAAAGTACATACATATGCGGCCGGAAAGAAAAAAATTTCAGATATGGATTAACGATTTTAACATTTATTTGTCTTGCAATTAGTTACAGCAATAAATAATAATTTCTTCTAAAACGTTTTTTACCATTGGACTAAATTTAAAGTCTAATTATCATCATCGTCATAATCTTCACTGTCTTTATTTTCCTCGTCATCATCAATCTCGTGGTCGCTTAAAAGCCTTTTAATAAGAAACTTTCTCTTATCAACTGCAGCTTCTATTGCTTCTTCTGGCTCAAAATCATCATTTTGAATAAACGCATCTTTTGTGTTCATTATTTTCTTATGTACTGGATCTTTCTTTAGTTGTCTTATCCACAAAAGGCGCTCTAAGTAGATATTTTCTAATTCTTTCTGGAGTCTAGGCATAATATTCAAGTAAGCTTTCTCTTTAGCAGAGTGCTCATCGAAACCTCTGTTTATGAGGCGTTCTTTCGTTTCCTCGAAAGCTGTGTTACTTCTTTGTTTTGCTTCTTCTATTAGTGGTATCCAGGGATCCATTTCCTCTCCAGATTCTGAGTCAGTCGCCGTCGAACTTCCAGACTGCTGAGTAGAAGTTGTTGAGACATCGTCACGGAAATCTCTTTCTTGACTGTCCGAGTCTGTTTGAGACATGTTTTTTTCTTGTTCTCGTAATGGACAGTATTCCTGTTCGTGTCTACGCTGATTGTAACCGCGATTAAAGTATCTTCCGCAAAATTGGCAGCTCATTCCTTTACCACTGGAGGCGTGAAAATGCCTTGTTATCGAGCAGTAATGCAGTTTTATGAGCAGATGAGCATGTGCTCATGAGCAGTTATGAGCATGTGCTCATCTGCTCATCGCATAAAAATTGCAACCGACATTATTTTTTTTTAAATTGAACAATATAAATTATATTATATTGGGCCTGAAAAATTTCAATGAACCGGGTGCCATTTTATGCGATGAGCAGATGAGCACATGCTCATAACTGCTCATGAGCACATGCTCATCTGCTCATAAAACTGCATTACTGCTCGATAACAAGGCATTTTCACGCCTCCAGTGGTAAAGGAATGAGCTGCCAATTTTGCGGAAGATACTTTAATCGCGGTTACAATCAGCGTAGACACGAACGGGAATACTGTCCATTACGAGAACAAGAAAAAAACATGTCTCAAACAGACTCGGACAGTCAAGAAAGAGATTTCCGTGACGATGTCTCAACAACTTCTACTCAGCAGTCAGGAAGTTCGACGGCGACTGACTCAGAATCTGGAGAGGAAATGGATCCCTGGATACCACTAATAGAAGAAGCAAAACAAAGAAGTAACACAGCTTTCGAGGAAACGAAAGAACGCCTCATAAACAGAGGTTTCGATGAGCACTCTGCTAAAGAGAAAGCTTACTTGAATATTATGCCTAGACTCCAGAAAGAATTAGAAAATATCTACTTAGAGCGCCTTTTGTGGATAAGACAACTAAAGAAAGATCCAGTACATAAGAAAATAATGAACACAAAAGATGCGTTTATTGAAAACGATGATTTTGACCCAGAAGAAGCAATAGAAGCTGCAGTTGATAAGAGAAAGTTTCTTATTAAAAGGCTTTTAAGCG